GTTAAATTACATTAGTAAATCGGATATTTGGATATGCAAAATAGAAAAGTGAATAGTTATGATCACATTCGCAAAAATTTTATTTTGACAATTTTACTCCTGATCATCATAGTAGACTTTGCGTAGTACACTTTGCTTAAAGATACATGGCATAACTAGTACTAATTATGATATTTAGATGAAACACTATCTTGTGGGAAGACTATTCTGATATAGAGCAACAAACAAATTTTGCATTACATAATAATCGGATTGCTATGTTGCCATTTACTATAAGTCATTAGCGTCATCATCACTGGTTCGTCTATCGTTTTGCAATTACACATACCTGAATGTTTGACTCATTTAGATGATTCATCGAGCGTGCTTCTATGAGTTTTCGCTTCTTACTTCTAGATTTCGCAAGACATATCATATAAAACACGTGCATAGCTACTCCTTTTCTCTTTCAGTGTTTTTTCGACATTTCACAGGCAGACTCGAATAAAACGAAACTCAAATATGGCGCACGGCATCTCGGATTCCGAGTGTAAAAAGGAATATTTTGATTCACAATCAGAACTCGATGCCAAATTGGATCAATTGGCTCAATGGATAAAAGAAAGTCAACATTTGATTGCATTCACAGGTGTGTCTAATCATTGCTATCTATCTCGTAGAATTCATCTGGATAGATATTAGGTGCCGGAGTATCTACATCGACTGGAATTCCGGATTTTCGTAGTGCAATGGATACTGTGTTACCTACGGGGCCTGGCGCGTGGGAATTACAAGAGTAAGTTAGCTCGATATTGTTTCTGTAAACAACGACTTTTCAACTATATTAGCAACAGAAAATCTCGATCCAAAAAGGCAGTAGTCGTTGATGACATGCAAAAAGCAATTCCATCGCCCTCTCACATGTACGTTGTTTTGTCAAAGCTTGAGAATGCAGCTAATTCTGATTTTCGTTAGGGCTCTCGTTGAATTACAACGTCGTGGCATTCTCAAATGTTTAATCTCGCAAAATTGCGATGGTCTACATTTGCGTAGCGGCATGAATCCAGCTCATCTAGCTGAATTGCATGGCAATATGAATTTGGAAATATGTAAGAAATGTAAAGCTAAATATTTACGAGATTTTGATACGGACAGTGACCGTTCAAACCATTTGACTGGTCGTCGGTGTGACAAACTCGAATGTCGTGGTCAATTGAAAGATTCAATTATTAATTTTGGCGAAGACTTACCGGAAGATGAATTGAACAAAGCCTTTGACCATGCGGACAAGGCCGATGTCTGTCTCGTTCTAGGTAACATAATAATATTCATACAATATTTATCATACTAATCTTAATTAAATTACAGGCAGTAGTTTGACTGTCACACCGGCAGCTGATATTCCTCGTCGAGTGGCTAAACGAAAGAAAAAATTGATCATTGGTAATCTGCAACGCACTCCGTTGTATAATCGTGCGACATTAAATATTCACGCATTCAGTGATACAATCATGCAGGGTTTGATGGAACGACTGAACATACCAATTCCACCATGGATTCTTCGACGACGTGTTCTTGTCACATGTCAAAACGATAGTGATAAACATAAATCTACAATCACCATCGAAGGTCGTGATCCGGACAACAGCGAAATTCCATTTACACTGTTTAAATCGATTCAAATGGCCATTGGAGATCGAGCAAAAGAAGATTTAACTCGAGAACCATTTGTCTTTGAAGTATCCAACAAAAATGTTCATTCAATCACTGTTCGACTCAATTTCTTTGGTCATTACAATGAAATTCCATTCGACCTTTATTATGTCAATGTGAAAAATATTCCAACAGAAGAACAATTCTACTTATTCTACAATCCGTTAAAGGGTGAATGGCGTAAAACAAACGACGAGACTGATTTACCCGTTTGAATGGATTCATAAATTTCGAAGAAAAATATATCTCATCTTTAAAAACAGCATAAAATAAAGAATGAATACATTGCATTTGATTGTTCTGTTTCTTCTGTGTTGTTTCTTCGGTAATGGTAGAGTGAGAAAGATGCATCGATGATTGATTCGAGCTATTTCATCCTGAAAAAACAAGTCCGGACGTGAAAATCGAAACGGTTTCAGTTTTTGATTATTCATGGCTTAAATACTCTCAAAGTATCCTTTGTCTATAACTGATAACATTGAACTAGAAGGAAATTTTAATAGTAAGGTTTTCTATTAACACAGATCTTCGCAGATCATGTTTATTACCACTTGAGATGAACCAATCTTTCAATGAGAATTCTCGAACAAATACCTAATATAACGTGAGTCAATAGAAGGTATCTGCTCGCTTTTATGTAACTTTACCTAAACTGGCAAAACATGAAAGTCGACATGAACTCATCATATACTAAATCTGAATAATCGACCGCATGAAAATTTAGGGAACAACATTATGAGATCTGAGCCTAGCTTCAAAGCTAGAACAGAGTTTGTTTGCTCTAGTCATGATTAGAAGAAAAATGTACAAGATATGTTAACCGTCAACTATAAATAAATGGAAAAAAATATGTGTGACTTTGAAATTGCGTTTCCGTTCAGATAGAATAATTTTATGCACGGCTTCGACAGTCATCAATGGTGTACATAACACGGAAATTCGATGCATTTACCTTCTTAGAACTCAAATGGTCAGAAGAGACCGACATGAAAGGAATACGAGCTTATTTTCAAGTAGACCGTCATGAAGGCGACCAGAACGCAAAAAACACTATGAACTCTGCAACAGAATAAATTTAAATTCTTCAAGTTTAGAATGTTAGCACGCTAATGATCAGTTCTGACATAAAAAGCGATGTATTTCAACACAGTCAATATGTTATATAACAAGTATGTTAACGGTATCACCATTATGTTTTTACAAAACCAGTTTATTATTTCTAATTTGAGTCTTTGACTATTATTTTAAAATCGGAATGTACCGTTTGTTGTATATCACAAACAAGATGAGCTCAACTGTTCTGTTACTAAGAGAACAATTCGTTTGAGGTCTTCGAAAATGAAGCAGTCATACACTCGGATAAACCAAGAAAAATCGGTATCATATTGTGACGTTTTATTAACTTCATGGTAAGTCAGAATTGTTCTTATTGCCCAGTTCAAGCCAAGAATAATCAAGTCCACAAAGCCCATTCCCTATGTAAGGCAAACATTTCTCGCCAAAGAGCATTTTTAGCCGACAAAACCATTTTTTACGTTTTCAAAAGCTTAATAAATCAAAACTTATACTATTCATATTATCAATGGTTTCATGATGGAAATAACTGAAATAACAGCAGATTTTTGACAGAAATTTGAACTGGTCTAGTTCGTTTCGGTAAACTATTCCATTTAACATTAGGGAAACATTATTCTTTGCATAAAACACGATTGCTAATGAGTATTGAAGCATACAGAGAGAAATGTCAATCATCCTCGATCTGAGTGACAGACTGATAGTCATGTTGATAAAGCTGAAATGAACTGAAGTTCCGATTTTTGAAACTATTTTAGCTTTCGGGTTTCTACAGAGTTTTTTCTAGCATCTACGTAGTGTGATATCTGATCCCTAATGCAAATGCACAATGCGTGTAGATATTACTAGAAAGTGCACCGTATCCAAGCAAGAAATTAGTTGAAATACTCTTGCATGTATACAATAGTGTTCATTTAAAATATAATCAGGATTTCGATATGGTAGAGATCTAATATCTTCTACAGATGATATAAGATGATAACTAATACCATCATTTGTTGATAAAAGAAATTATGTTGGGTTCGCTTTATTTGTATGAAACTATCGACGTAATTTAGTAAAAGCCTTGTATAGTCTGAAAGGTTATAATATTAACTATGGTGCACGTTCATTGTATTATTAGGTAAGTCTTCTGGCAACTTCGATCTCTGAAGTAAAACTCTCCTGTGTATCTATGTTTCTTTCTTAGACCTAGCGAAGTGTTATCAATCAACTGACTGTTGCATAAGAACAAGGTCTATTTACATCTGATAATCAAGTTCTGCTCTTTGTTGAAGATAATCTGTTTCATTCAACTCTAACTTTTCAGTCATATAGAAAAAAAACAAAGAGTGTATCTAGGTAAAAAATAGTTGACCAGAAATCAGACTATAATCGATAACAGATTAATTAGTTTTCACAGATTAAAGGTAATTTAAATAAATCCGAAAAAAATAGCACAAACCTGCCTTTGTCATTGAAAAAAAGCGATTTAATCTCATCTTTTATCAAATCTATTTATATGAGTATTGCTCAAAATTTTTGGAATGTTACAATGTTCATGATATAATTCCATGAAAAATAGACAAAATAAGTGATTATTGTATTCAAATGTGTTTAGCTGTTTACAAAAAACTACAGACTAAGCAGCGATTTAAGCTGTCACTACAGAATATCATAACGATTATTGTTCACAATTGGTTTGAGAATGAATTTCAAGACTTGATTAAAACAGAAGAAGATCTTACATGTTTTGAGATAGACTTTCACCTGCCAGCGTAGTAATCTGATAGTTTTTCAAAATTGCGAAATAATCTTTCGTATCTCCAAGTGTTTCTACTGCCATTTTTGATGTCTTATAATATTCTGTATAGTTTGCTTTGCTACTGAATACCAAAAGAGATGAGTCAAAATGTGGTGAGAACTGGTTACTATAGCAAACCCACTCAATAAAGTGTATAATAATTACTAACAAAAGAGCTGAACCATGAATAGTGGACAATGTTTCGAAATAGCACATATAAACATTTTTGTCGTGCAAATCTTTCTAACATAAATTAGACTCTTCTGGACATACGATTATTTAGATTTGTAAGACTTAATAGTGGTAGAATCGACTTTGACTCAATTTTATTTATTTCAATAAGTTAAAATATATGTATGAAGTGTTAGTAAGACTAGCTAGATAAAAATAATGAAGAAAAAGAAAAAGGAAAAGAAAACGTGTTCATAGTAATGACACAGCGATCATATGTTTAGCACCAGCCAAAATTTTGAACCCAATAGGCTCCGTAAGGACCACCTTGGGCATAGCCGACGCCAATTGCCTTAAAACCTTTGTTCATAAGATTAGCACAGTGTCCTGGACTGTCGATCCAAGCATTGACTGTCTTTTCAGGAGTTTGATTGCCAGCAATATTTTCACCGCCAGCACAATTTCTCGAATAGCCTGCAGCTGCTATGCGATCCACAAAACTGCTTCCATCTCTGCCTGTATGAGAGAAGTAGTTATAATAAAGCATGCTTTTGGCATGATTAGTTGCAGCGTTGCCCAATTCATCACTCCACCTCATAGCCGTTGTGGCGGGATACCAAGTCGAACCACAGTACCGGCCGCGTTGGCGTGCTTGATTCGTTAGTTCAAATACTCTTTGCTGATAATTGTTGCTTGGACTTCGACGTTCGAAATCATGAAGAACATCAGAATCATCATCGTCTTCATCATTGTTACTTATGGATCTTGGTTGGTCACCATGGCTAGACTTTGGCTCACCTACCACTTCAGCTGTGCCTAATACTGAACGAACTTGAAGATGTTGCTTGTGTGCTGGCCATGAATGGGCCAGTTGCCCAAGAGCCAAGCAAATAAAAGCCCAGAACTTCCACATAGTCATTGTATAAATTTTACAAAACTTGACTAAATAAAAAAGCAATATATACAGATAATTTCCTAGATACATTTTATACAATGAATATTTCTAAATCAAAAATTAGAGAAAAATTATTTATAGGATTTTAGATCGTTTATATGTCAATCTTGTTCATTTTCCTATTCATGTATGAACTATCGTCTTGCTGAAACAGATCGAACGCAATCGGTCATCCGATAGGCATCTCGAGACTTAGTTATCGGTCATATAAACGATGGTTTCGAAGGGAATCGAAATTTGGTGAAAATAAAAAAAAATTTGTTTAATAAATTCCTTACTCTCGAGTTGTCTAAACCTATCGAATATACATGGAGGACGATATTCAAATATATGTACTTATGACTCAGTTTCGCCAAACATCTTAACTAAAAATGAACTTACCCTTTTCTTTGAAACTTATCCTTTAATTTATAAAAAAGATAATATTACTTTGATAACTAAATTTTTTAAATAATACTTGCTACCATTTCAAAAATATAAAAATAAAACTTTTTCATCCAAGAAAAAAAACTTTCGCACGTCTCTAGTTAAAGGAATAGATTTACACTGTGTTTCAAATACTTTATAAAGAACTTATTTGAAAAATAGAACATCTGATAGTCAACTGATTTGTGTGCTTATTTGTTGACCCAATATTATTAGTTTCCATCGGCAAATGTCAAATATTGCCTAGAAAATTATGAAATTAAGTTGAAACATCTGCCTACCATAAAAAAATTCTTCTAATAGTATTTAAAAAAGTAAAAGACATCTAGAAAAAAACACTTTTCACAGAAGTTTCATGGAACCAAAATGAGACTCAGCAGTCGATATTATTATTGTGCTAGGCTGGCTTCTAATGTAGCACTCAAAAGTATTCTTCCGATCTATTTATTTTCTTCAAGTAGTCAAAATTTCGATAGGATTCGAATGGTCGAAATGATTTTAAAGAGTCGGTAATATTCTTTCAATAGGTGTTCTCTCCTCGAGTACTCAAAACTTCAATAAGCAATGAGGATTCGATACTTGTTCAATCAGTCGAGAATGAGTAATCAATAGGATATAATTTTCGAGTGCTTCGATTCTGTTGGTTGTCGAGAAGCCCGAAATTGTAATAGAGCGAACACAAAATATATACTTCATACTTTTAAACACGTCCCATACAACTGAAATTCCTTTTTACATAGGCGAGACATTGTTTTGTGACATGTAAATGTTTTTTTTTGTTCTTTTTCTATCCTTCTAATAAAAATTTCAGCTTAGTTAAGTATAAGGTACCAAACAAATAGGAACAATTCTGCACCTTTTTGTGTAAAAACTGATTTCTAAATGTATTAGACCTTGTTATCTTCAACTATATTTATCGAAAGCTGACCACCTGTTTATATTGAATACAATAATAGTAGCGCAACTTTTCTGCTATTGGTTTTGACAGTTGGACTTAATCGATGCATCAATTAATAATGAAAAGCGCCCATTTAGGAACTATACTAGTAAGAAAAACCAAGAATCGAGCAATGCCGATTTTCATATCTGAAAAGGGAGCTAGAGCTTCCTCCAGCTTGGATTTGTGTTAATAATAATAATCTGTTACTATTCTATACAAATGGTACAGAGTCTAAATTGGATTCTTTTAGGCTCAAGTATGATCTAAGGCTCCAACAGAAACGTTACTTACTTAAGATTCAGTTGTTTTGTGTGCTCGATTTTTCTTATGCCAATGATACAAATAATCCTCGGTATTTATATACACTTTTCTCTTAGTATTTTTCTTTTCATCTCTTTTCACTGCAATAATTGCGTTCGTTCTTTATATTCGTCAATCCTATTGGTTACCAGCAGCTTGATTGTGATTCATGATCTGTAATGATGCATGAAATTCATGCCAATTACTCTTAATATAATTTTGAGACACACTTGCGTCAAATCAAACGTCAGACAACATGATCTATACTTGTTATCGTTTTATTAAAGTTTTTACTAGATTCGTGTCATACGAAAAGAAAATATGCGTGGCATAGAATCATGTTATCTTTTAAGTTGGTAATTAGAGAATTAATTATGGTTAGTTTAATGAGAAAATGGTGCAAAAGAAGATTTCGAATTTTCCAGTATCTAATAATTTCTTTGTATTCCTTGAAACAAATCTCACTGATCTTTATTGTTGTGAAATTTTCTTCTTAATGTTAAATGTATTGTGAGAATAGTTGTTTGACTAGCAACTTAGAACAATGAAACACATATTTTCTAGTATCCTTAGACTTTTGTTTGAATAATATTAAATTCTCTGTTCAGGTAAAGTTCCAACGAGATCTTTCATCTTAATATATTCCAAAATAGAGCATTGACAATTGATTAGAATCATTTCTTCTAGTGATATATTTCATATGTTGCTTGGCTTTTTGCAAATCTCCTATATAGAACAGTGAAAGTCATAGCCAGTTTTTACCGCATATTATCTCCAAGTCAAGTCGACACTAATCAAGATTAGTCTCGAGCCGTTGTTGAATAATCTATGTTGATGAAAAATATCTTTCTCTTATAAAACATCTAGATAGCTATTCTTTTAATAAGTCTAACAGAGAACGTTGCAACTCGTCACGTGACGAGTTTTTTTTCCAGAAAAAACAGGGCTTTCGTAACACCAAAAATAGCGATATACGAGAAAACAGGGATGTCGTAACGAAATTTACAGGGCGATCGTAAAGATTAATACAGGGAGTTCGTAACAGTTGCAGAGCTTTCGTAATGAAGCAACAGGGAGTTCGTAATGAAATATATATTAGTCATGCCTCATTTACGTACAGAAATTACATGGATTCCGTAACGAATTGTACAGGGCTTTTGTAACGAATTTTACAGGGAAAATGTAACCGTTCATACAGGGTTGTCGTACCAGAAAAGCATAAACATTCTTTCTGCAAAAAAGCCTGATTTTTTTGGTTACGCTAGCTCTGATTTTTTGTTACGAAAGCCCCTGTGTAAGGGGTTACGATAACCCTGTAAAATTCGTTGCGAAATGCCTGTAATTGAGGACGTGATGTTCTAAAATAGCACATATCAAATCACTGGTTACGATCACCCTGTAAAATGCGTTACGATAGCCCTGATTTTTTGTTACGAAAGCCCTGATTCTGCAGTTACGAAAGCCCGACAAAAAAAAACGTGACGAGTTGAATCTTTCCCGTCTAACAAAACCAACTCATTCACTTGTTGTCTACATCCTATTAGATACTTCAAGCATGTATCCATCGACTTGATATGATACAAACTTATACATTAGTCATATTTAGGAGAAATGTGTTGAAGTATGATTATCAATAAATAAGAAAATCATCCATAAATTTTGATACCTAATAATATAAGAAGAATAAATGTACGACTAATGATTTCATCAGAAAGACGTTTAATTTCCGTGTTTTTTTCCCACGAAGGTGTATAATGAAAATGATGTGCTTATATAGAGTATTGCAGAATGTTTTTATTGAGACCTACGATGAGAAAGGCTATGAATATGGAGTAATATATATCAAAGACGTTTCGAAAATGATCATGTCATTCTTCAGCAATTCGATCAAGGGTTTAAGTCGATAAATAGCTCTTAAAATCTATCAGTTGATAGAGATGGTATCGATGTTATATTGCTTTATTTTCGATCGCTTCTTATTCATACTGGTGCATTAACGATTCTCGCTGTTTGCGAACAGAAAAAGTACCTGAAATGAAACAAGAAGTGTCTTCTCCAGTTTGTAAAGAATACTTTTATCAATCGAAAAAGCATCATTTTCGTGCATGCTTTCGCTTATTTTAACATTTCAGTGTCAATCAGAGTACTATCAGCAATTGTGTTTGTTTGACATTTAATTAATTATACATCTTTGAAAGAAGATTTGAGAAACATTGGTACTACAGGCTTTTCCAATATAGATTTAACATGAAAATATATGCAAGTATTGGACATCATTCGACACTATTTCTTGTTAATGAGTAAGCATAGATTAGACTAAGAAATCTTCCAAGACTTCGTGTTTATGGTGTCTATGACGTACATTTCGACAGTCGTATACGATCAGGTATGGCCGGTCATACACAGTTGTAAATTACAATGAACGTGAACGACCGTATATGATTGTATACAACGTAGTATGCTGTCTCATTTATGTATAATCTTTCTCATTCAAGAGGGAATGACTTCCTCCTCGACACGAAACAGCCAAAACCTTTTTTTTTTGAAAAAAACTCTGCGTTTAAGGTCGTACTCGAATTGATCTAGAAAAAATAAAAATTATTCATATTAGAGTAAATACTTTGCACATGCTGCTCTATGTAATCTAAAAGAAATGAATATGATTTATTTTAAAATAAATACTTATAATTCAATGTGTTGTTGGAATCTATATGAATAAAAGAAAATAACATCATCTATTTCAAAATAAATACCTATGTTTAATGGGTTGTTTCAATTAAATTGAACAAGAAGAATAATATTCGTATGTATATTAAATAAATGATTATGATTCAATATGTAATTCGATTCCATATCAATAAAAGAAAATAAAATCATCTGCTTTAAAATAAACTTACTGTTTAATCAGTTGTTTTACTTAATCTAAATAAGAAAAATAAAAATATTTATCAAAAAAAAAAGACTTAGTATACTTTTTGTTGATGAATTCATGTATTACCCTTGGACACAACTGTCTTTTACGTTCATCGTGTATGTTATCCGTGTTTCAACGTACAGCGTTGTATTTTTTGCCGTCTTGTGTAGTAGTGTTGCAGCCAGTAGGATTTTTTCCCTTACTGGCACCAGTCAGTTCGGACGGAACCGACATTAGTTATTAATCACTTTTCTTACCCATTATGTAAGACTTCTATTTCACGACTATAGTGATTTTGCGGAAGATTATTGACAATGAATGTTGAAATTAATAAGAAAAAATTGATCCTCTCTCTTTTGGCTTGCTCCAAAGATCACGACCAAC